CACCTAAACTAAATATATTTCTGTCCCGTTATCATTGCAATTACTTGAGAATTCAAGTACTTTCTCCCAAACTTGCAAAATATCACTTAATTGCGTTAATTTATTTCCATTTACCAAGAGCGTCCGGAGAAAATAATCATGCCAATGCATTCGCAACGCATTTACTTCATAGACTGAACTCATCATATTGTGCACCCCTGAAGTCTTTCTAGCCGATTTCTATCCGATTTGGATAATTAGATTAACGCCAATATTTACCAATGCATTAAATGCATAATATTTTCTACTGTTAAGGACTAAGGACTTTCAGTTCATTTCTTATCGATATAGGCAGCGTTCGGATAATCGGAAAGACCGAGAGTCGAGTTTGCGATAACAACGACTTTACATCTCATTTATGCCATTAAAAGGCGATCTATAATTTTCTGTTTTTTAAGATGAGCTAACGTATTACTTGCGATGTATTAAGTCAGTGCAGATGCGCGCAACACCCAAACGGACTTCACATAAATCCACCTTTTTTTATGTCAATCGATTTAGAATCACTTTTTGAATCAATTTAAGCTTGTCTGTCCCTCTGTCCGTTTGTTACTTTTTTTGTTTAATCTACGAGCCGCCATTCTTGGGATATTTGCATGGAATATGTTATATTGAGGTGTTTTGGCACAAGAATGCGTGCTATTAGAAATGGCTTGAATCGGATCACTTTTTCCAGCGCTTGCCATTTAACAACTTATTTTGAAAAGTGGTTACATGGATATCTGTAGGGTGATGGCGTAGGATGATGGGCAGTGACCCAAAATAGTTCCTTTACTCTTGAAACAGAAGAACCGTAAAGCTGTGAACCTTAGTCGGGAATTAAAGTTAAAGTCAAGCTCAGCTGAACGTGTTATAGAAAACCTTTATTCGCCTTACGTTTGTTAGGTGATGAAGCTATTTGAATCTGCGAATTCATTTGGTCATTTATGGCAATTACCGTTACACACTTGAAACCACTTATTCCCATCACTTATTATTATTATATTATGTATCACACACACTTCTGGAGACTTGAAAATTGGATAGGATAGCTTCAGAAAATGGTTTTCTGGTAATCACAGTAGGATTTTTTAGTAAATCAGCATTTGTCAAATCTACGGCCGATTTTCAATTGTTTTTTTTGCGTAAAAATAAATTTCAAGCCAAATCCGTTGTTATATCTAACACTACTGCAAAGGTGCAAAGGTATATTAAGAGTGGATATACGCAACGCCTAAAAAGGCCTTGAGAAACATCCATTTCTTTCCTGCCGATTCAGAATGCTTTTCTCGATCGATTTAAGCTTGTGTTTCCATCTGTCCGTTTCCCTTCTGTGTTCAGCTTAAAGACCGCAATTTTTGGGAAATTGTGGTGAGGCTGGATACACTGGCATGTTCGGGCTAAGAAGCAATACCATTGAAAATGGTTTCGACCATGACCCATTTTAAAAAGCAATTACATGAATAACTGTAGGATGGTGCAGGGTATTTAACAGTGGGCCTTTCTTGTTCTTGGTCCAATGTTACGGCGGGGAGGATCTGTGCTGGGAAAAACACCACTCAGAACTTGATGCTTTCGTTTTTGTTTGAGAAGGTCTGCAAAATAAACTTGGAAAAATGCCTGCAAACATAGTGCGCACAATATATGAAATGTAGGTACTACCTCCGAGAGCAGTAGAGTCAAAGTCAAATGTTGTCACTACGTATCAAAAAGATTTAGATAGTAAGGTAAAGTCGCATAAATCGCTAAGCGAAGAGAAAAGGAGGAAGAAGAAGAAGTGTAGTATCACAAACCGATTGCTAGACAAATCCAAGACTTCTTTAAAAAAAATATTTTCTGGAACGACAACCTCTTTTAATTAAAGGGCAGTTCTATGATATACATATGTATGCTAAAACGTAATAAGAATCGAAGAAAGGCGAGACAGTGATTATACACTTTCTTATTGTTGCTATTAATTTTATGTTAGTTATATAAGTTGTCAATTGCTCTTCTTGAGATTTTCTTTGAAATGACACAAGAAAACACGACGGACAGACACGCTCAAATCAAATCCGCCTAAATGTCGGGCTAGCTAAAAGATCTCAATAAGCAATTCAATGATCGTGAGTTCAAATCTCAATTGCGGTAGAGTTTTTAATAAAGCCGAAAGCCTTAGAGGTTAGTGCTTTAGGTCTTTTAGCCTTAGAATCAATCAATCAAAACATTTCCCTAAATATAATCTTAGAACAACAATATCTTCGAGAGTTCGTAAGCGCATTATGCATCTAGGAAGGGAAGACAGTGTAAATAGTTGTTAGGGCTTTTTTTTAGCCAAAGAAAAAGTACATCCTATGCCCTGAAAAACAAAGATTTGCGTCACATATAATGCACGAGTAGGGAAAGTAACTTGAGAAAAGCCAGCAAGACATACATATAAAAGCTATTCCTTTATATAAAAATGTTAATTTAACTTTAACATTATTTCAGTCGCTTGTTCTTCTTTTTTTTATGCCCATCAACATCATTTGTGGTACAAGGATATATGTGTGTACAGCGCCCAAGAGAACGTGAGATATACTCACCTCTCAGTCAAAATCTTTTCCTGAATCGATATAAGCTTACTGTTGGTCTGTCCGGCTATCCGTCTCGTTTTCTTGTGTTCAAGCTACAGGTTGCAGTAACCGATGTTCCGCGCTGAAGATTGAAACGAAAGTAATTGAAAATGATTCGGATTGGATCAATCATTCCACCGCTGCCCATATAATAAGACACTTTGAAAAGTCGTCATATGAATGACAGTATTAAACGAAGCCGTGTAGAGTATTTAATGGTGAGCCGTCTCCCACTATTTAGGTTTTTCTTTGAAACGATTTAAAATTATGCTCGCTTCTAATTAATATTAACATTAAACTTGACATTGTTTAATCTAAAAATGTAATATTGTTTGTATATGACTTAAAATTCATTCACAATTTTTTGAGTGTCAAGACTAATTGTCATTATCATTATGATTATGATTATGACTTTGCATTCTTTCGGAGAGTTGCGTGCTTTCAAATAAATGAAACTACAAATAGCGTAAAAAACGCTTATCAGTAAATTTCAAAACAATATTCATATAATAATAACAATAACAATAATAATAATAATAATAAAATAATCTCGGTACGCATATATAAAATGCATAGCAGTAATCGGATAGTAGACTGGACCAACATTAAATCAAATCATTAGATATGTCTTAGTAAGAAATGATTCATCATCATGAAAATGTTAATGGCCGCAGACTGAGCTGGTAATTGTGTAAAAATAAATTTTCTTTTCATTAAATTTATTATTATTATTATTATTATTTTAATTTTAGACTAATGAATTGAATTCTTAGACTAAAAAAATTCATTAAATTTAACAACAAATTTTTGAATTATTTTTTTTGATTAATGTTAGCGAGTAACAAAACAAAAAAAAAAAAAAAAAAAAAATACAAAAGTTTGACTTTCATAAATAATAATAAGTTTGGGTGTCTTGTTGCACTTAGGACTTTAGACTGTTGTACAGTCTTAGATTGTAATCCATTTCGTAGTTTGAATGGAGTTTAATTATACGAATTACTTTCACTTTAAAAGTTTCTATTAAAAGCGATTTCAACTCGCACTTATCTTAAACTTAAATTAGTTTCTCTGAGAAGTATGTATACGTTTTTGAAACTTGCACTTACTTGCACTAGTTTGTTGTGCGTATTGTACATTCAGCTTGCAAAAAAAAAAACCAAAAATAGTTAAAGTAAGTAAAAACGCACATAGCGGTACACGAGCCACTATTAAATACTCTACAACGCTTCATTTATTACATTTACTCATATAAAGTATTGCGACTTGGTTTTCAGAATAAGTTCGTATCACTGAATTATGATTTGCAGGATTGTTTAAAATCCTTAGGAAATCTATTTACAAATTACTTACAAGAACTTACGTTGACAACGATTCTTCTCGTTCTTCTTATTGTCCGTTTGAATATTACCCTTCAACTCTCTTAATGCGACAACACTTTGTCTTCGCAAACATTTCGCATATATATCCTTTTACAAGCAAGCCACGAGTAGCTAATCCTTTTTTCTATGGATGGTCTAGTAATTGAAGGATTAATCCTTTCGACAAATGTCGTTGTGAATGTGTATTCAGTCTTCCATTTCCATTTTTTTTTTTTTTTGCTATTTGGTTTCTTAGAAAATCGATCACTTTTCATGCAAGCTGAAATCATTAAATTGGGAGAGTATAATATAGAGGCAAGTGGTCGAAGAAACGGCCCGATCCGAATAGTTTTCAGTAGCGTTCATCCTTGGGCCGGAACGTGTGAGCGTATGAAATTTCATCAAAATATCTCAACACCTTCGGACTGTAGGTTGAGCAAAAGAAAACCAGACCGACAGACGGACAGACAGACAAAATTAGATCGGTTAAGAAACAGATGCTAAATCAATCGCTATAGTAAAGGATGGGTCCATCCCGAGCCTTCTTGGGTTGAGCACAAGAAAACCACACAGACAGAAAAAATTAGATCGATTAAGAAAGTGATGCTAAAACGATCGCTATAATAAAGGATGGGTCCATCCCGAGTCCTCTTGGGTATTGCATACATCGACGCAAACTTAACATACTCTTGCACCACAAGTGGTGTAGAGTACGAAAAACATTAAATAAAACTTTAAATAAAATAAAATTTTAAAATTTTACTTATTTTGATTTTACAAAAAATTATGTTTCAGATTTAATTCGAATTCGCGCTCTTTTTTATACACACATACATTTTTTAAAATAACCTCAAAAATAGTCAATCAATTTCCATATGTGTAAAGCAATTATCATAAGAACTTAACTTAACTTAACTTTACTTAAAACTGTTTACGCCTTTAACCGGCGTTTAAATAATCTTAATTTAACTAAAGTTATTTAATATGCGAATGAAAGAACCGCCTTTAGCGTTGCTGTCAACAGTTTTGAGTTCCGTTAAACTTTCTCTCGTTTGCCAAGCAATATTTCACACTATAAATCATTGAGATTAGAATGTTTATTATCGTAAAGCTATCTGGATATTATATAAATAAATAAATTAACTATTTGTGTACAACATGTGCTTAATTGGCGCAAATAATAGAAAATGTAAATAAGAAAATTGCATTTGACTTGAAACGAATTTTGGATATCTTTCACGTAATACATAAATAAATAAAAAATAAATATATACAAATAAGAGATCTGTTGGAAATTGTTTCACTTTATCCGACAAGGCCCATGGTGTCTAACTTTATCTGCATAAATCAATCACGGGCATATAGAGCGAATGTCATTTTCTCATTTCAATTGTGGCCGAACATGATAAAGCCAAAAAACTTATGGACATATAGACGGACATAGATCAAGAATGGTTGCATTTATTTAGTTTTCAATATTACAAACAAGTTTTATTTTCTCATTTCAATTGTTGCCGAACATGATAACTCCAAGAAAATCATGGACGTATAGACAGACATTGATCAAGAAAGTTTGCATTCATTTCTTTTTCGATATCTTAAACACACACAAGTTTTATTTTCTCATTTCAATTGTTGCCGAACATGATAATACCAAGAAAATTATGGACGTATAGACGGACATTGACCAAGGATGGTTGCATTCATTTCTTTCTAAATTTTATAAACACTTTAACTAAACCGACGTGCACCTGCATCCCTTAGGGGCATAAGTATAAAAATTATGGGCTCTTTTCTGTTTTTAGATTTAATTTTTTTTTAATTTTATTGTATAAACATGGATTCGCAATATGATAAGTTAAGCCAGCAACAAATTAAAATTTCAATAGCGAAGCCCGAAGCAAAAAACTTCATCAAGGATAATGATGCGGTATGTCAAATTGTTTTTACTTTCCCTGGATATCTACGTACATATATATACATATATATACATATATATATATATATAGAGCGTATGCAATATGAGCGTAATTTGTCGGTTATAGTGTGAGAAACTAATTTTCATCAACATTCATGTTAACTTATCCTACGATGTATACGATGTACTATTAAATTCCATTACTAGTTAACCGCTACTCATAACTTGCGATTTGCTTTTGTATGTTTTTTTTGCTCATCTCACATATGCATTGCTTTTGGCAAGGACACATTCATTTATAACTGTGAACTTCCTCCCCCTCCCCCTCTCCATACCTTGCTTACAGAATTTCTATTCATTTTAAGAATTCCTTCCTTCCGCATTACGAAGTACTTCTTAAGGAGGCATTTTGAAGAGTTTCCAAAATAAAAAAAATTATTATTAATGAGGATAATATTGGTTGGAATAAATTCATTAAATTTATGTTTTCATATCATTTAGTATTTCGTTAGACATTAGATTGTGTATGTTGTGGTTTACTGCTTTTTTTATATCATATCAGCTACGTATACATTAATCTCTACCTCTATTACTCATTACCTACCTGTCAACTAATCTTTAATATGCCTTTCAATTACGTGATAACGAGTAATGCAACAAGAATCATAAAAATGAGTTATTGCTTTATTTTCATGACATGTTCATCTTATTCGCTATTACTACTACTACTACTACTATTACTACTACTAGTATTACTACTGTTTTTTTGCTTTTATCCAATAGCTTTCCGTAAGCTGCACTAATAGTTCCAGTGATACGAGCCGCGAAAAATGGGGTAAAGAAATTGAATTTCTTTTCTCATGCATTGCCTTATCTGTCGGTTTGGGTAATGTCTGGCGTTTTCCTTTCATTGCTTTGGAAAACGGTGGCGGTGCTTTTGTTATACCCTACATTATTGTTTTGCTGCTTATTGGTCGTCCCGTTTACTACATGGAAGTGATTATTGGGCAGTTTGCCAGCAGAGGCTGCATAAAAGCCTTCGACATGGTCCCATTAATGAAGGGTACATACATAACCTAATGAAAGAAAATCGCATTTGTAATAAATGACGGCAATCTTATCAATTTTAAGGAATCGCTTACGGCCAGGTATATGCAACAGCCCTAGCTACTACATACTATGCTTGTGTGATGGCTCTAACTATTAAGTATTTAATTGCTTCGCTCTCGGAAATATTGCCTTGGAGTTACTGTCAACCAGAATGGGGTCCATTATGCATATCAACTGCGGCTTTCAATCACACGCATTTAAATAATAATAATAATACTTTGCTAGGGAAACCAACGTCATCGGCAGAACTTTATTTCACGTTAGTATTGATTGATGATTTGCAGCAGCCTTTAATAAATGTTAACTTAATTTTCGTTCATTACTGTATGTTAGTAAAACAATTTTACGTGAAAAGGATAATATTGATGATGGCATTGGTGTGCCAAATTGGGATTTAGTTTTATGTTTGCTCTCCGCTTGGTTGATAATCTGCACTATTTTAATAAAAGGTTTGGCAAAATTATCTTATTACTCTTTGGCGATTTCATGATTTATTTTTCATTCATAATATGGACAGGTATTCGCAGTAGCGGTAAAGCTTCCTATTTCTTAGCCATATTTCCTTATGTTGTAATGAGCATATTGCTGTGTCGTGCTTTAACTTTGCCAGGATCTTTGAACGGAATTATTTACTTTTTACGACCACAATGGGATCAACTATTAAATCCAAATGTAAAGTATTATTAAATACATCATAAATTATTATCATTTTACAGAAGAAGAAGAAGAAGAAGAAGATTTTTAAACATTGCATTGTTTAGGTTTGGTATGCAGCGATTACACAAATGTTTTTTTCTTTGGCCATATGCTTCGGTACATTGGTAATGTATGCTTCTTATAATAATTTTCGCAAAAATGTTTATCGGTAATTAACTGAATATGAAATTTTATTTAACTAAACTAAATGCTTCTCTTTTTTCATCAGGGATGTCATCATCATTACCAGTGTCGATTCTATGACGTCAATATTAGCTGGATGCATTATATTCGGTATATTGGGCAACTTAGCGTATGAGACGAATACACACGATATTGCTCATGTGGTTAAGGGCGGCGCGGGCTTGGCATTCATTTCCTATCCCGAAGCTATTGCCAAATTTAAATATCTACCGCAGGTCTTTGCTGTTTTATTCTTTTTAATGTTACTGGTATTGGGTATAGGCAGCAATATTGGCATGGCATCGTGTGTGATAACCGTAATTAAGGATCGTTTTCAATATTTACCCCATTGGCTATTGGCTAGCGGTATGGGTGTAGTGGGTTTCATTGTCGGCTTGGTCTATACTACGCCTGGCGGTCAATACATATTAAATCTGATCGATTATTTTGGCTGTTCGTTTATCGCCTTATTTTTGGCCATAGCTCAGTTGGTCGCAGTTTCCTGGTTATACGGTAAGTTCAAAACTGATCTGATAGTTCAGTCAGTACTTATTTAGTCTGAAATAGCTGAGACTCTTTAGTTATTGTTTCATCGCAAAGTCTATCTATCTCGCTTCACGCAGAAAGCTTACCTTTGCTTATATACAGGTGAGCTTTTGCCTCACAGCGAAAGCTTTGCTAGATATATGAATGTGACTAAGTAAGCTATGCATGCGTAGAATTTTGCGCCGACTTTTTTAGTAAAATGAAACTTTATCGCTTATGTTTATGCTTTGTCTAGTCTGGATTACGCTTATTTATGCGTGGCACATATAGTGCCTTCTTTACACGTTGCCCGCCACAATTTTTCGAATTAAGAAGTTCCCGTTCTGGTAACAGAAAGAAGCACAAAACCATAGTTTAAATACTTCAGTGCACCTCTGTCATTACTTTAAGCTGAAAGCTAGGGCTATAGTCGGCACTCTATAGCACTTATATATAGCACTCTCAGCCGCCTAGAAGGCAACGAAAACTTCTTCAATAACGCAATAATATTTGACAGTCGAAGACGAACCCCCTCTCGCTGCATGTTTCGCTTCTCCGCTATCCGTTCTCGCTGGTGCGTTGACATAAATCCCAAAAGCTTATGGCTTATAAAAGATATGCTCACGGAATTCCTAAGCGCATCCTTTATCTTCAAAAGAAAGAGAGAGTGAGAAAGGGAGTGGAAAAGGAGGAGGGAGCGAGGGAGAGGGGTTTTTAGAGTACACTTTCCATACAAAACTTAACTCTCCGAGGAAAGAAACGAGAGAGAATGAGATAAGTGATGGCAACGTGAACATTGCGAGTTATGCCAAAAGAAGATCTACACGATCTAAATGAATTCCTTATTTAAGGGCTTGCTTTGTTAATCATAATATGACACAGTTGGCTGGGCAGCACATTCTGCTCCACGGAATGTCTATATCGTTTGGAAGTTCCTTTTCCTAGCATAAGCTCCATGATAAGCTGAAAAGGCAAAACTTATGACAAGAATTGTAGTGTGACTCTGGCATCTCCTCTAACCAAACTTTTGGTGCGTACTTTTACGATAGCTATTAAGGCGAATGACTAAATAGACAGACACACGAATTGACTTGAAATTTCGCATTTATTGTATATGAACTACACTGTATGGGTTCTCTGATGGTCATTTTCTCTTGTAAAAGAAAACAAACAGACAATGCATTCGATCAGTGTCGACTTATTTTCTTTTCTTCTCTTATTTAATTTCATTTTTCATATGATTTGATTTTATTGTAATTTATTTTTTTTTTTTTTTCGTTTTATTTTTGCAGGCGTTAAGCGTCTATGTCAAGACATTGAATTTATGTTGGGCTTAAAAACCGGTTTATATTGGCGTGTTTGTTGGGCCATTATAACGCCGGGTCTGATGTTTTTAGTATTAATTTACAGTTTAATCAATTATCAACCGCTGGACTATAAAGGCGTAAAATATCCAGATGCAGTCTATAACTTTGCCTGGCTGATCTGGGCTGTAGGTGTGGGCCAATTGCCATTTTGGGCTTTATACACCATTTCCCAACAATCCGGGAAAACTTTTAAACAAGTAAAAGAAAGAAATTTAAAAAGAAAATTAAGAAAAAAAATTTTTTTAAAAAATAATTTCTTACGTAGAAATTGCATTTAGCGCTAAAGCCCACCGATAATTGGGGTCCTTTAGAAGCCAAGCTATTAGATGAATACAACTTGCAGCGTAAAAGTTTCGATTACAATGATAGTTTAACGTTAAGCTGGCGTAGTCGTATTTACGATAATATTTTCGGTTAAAATGATCGATATCGTCGAGAAGCTCGAAGGAAGCCAAGCTATACTCACCGTTGTTGTTTTCTTATATATATTGCATTAATAAGAGATGGTTCGCTTTGTTTTTTTCATTTATACTAAATTTGATTTATTTCTCAATGCATTTAATTTACTATTATTCGATATGCTACATAGTATCTTAAGCTTTAGTTTTAAAAATTTTTGGAATAAAAATTATATTAAATTTTAATTTGTTGTATTTCTTGTTGTTGTTCTTTTGCCATTGGTAAGTGTTTAATTAAGTTAATCATGTTTAGATGTTTGTTTGTATGTATATATATATATGTATGCTTCAATTTGAAGTATAAAAAATTTTATAATATATAAATTATTTTCTAACATATGTGTAAGTCATTCAGTAGTAGAAAAAGTTAGAGAAGCAGATAAAGTTTTGCTTAAGCGAAGCTATCCATATTTTGAGAGTCAAAGTCAGTTCTGGTCTATATAATCGTTTAGCGCTTTTATATCTTAAAAAGTTTATCTTGTCTTTATCATTTAAAGAACTGAATGACTTACATGCATATAGTACAGATTTCTTAGACATGTGCACCGCATGATTTGCTGCTTTTTAGCCACGCAATGTATTTATTATTATTAATATTTTTTTTTTTTTTTTTTTTTGTGCAGAAGACATGCTTTTCATGTTTCTTTTCTTTTCTTTTTATTATTTATTTATTGGAAGAATTCGTTGTTATATATTATAAAATTAATTTAAGCAAATTGCAGCACATTCTTGGCGTATATGAGTTTTTATTTAGTTGTTTCTTCTTTTTTAATAAAAAAATTGTATAACTTTGGTTTAAAAAAAAAAAATAAATAAGTAATTGAAACGAAAGAAAATGAAAAAAAAAATAAAAATTTATTTTTTGTATTAAAATGTTTGTGTGTTGTAGTTCTCTATTGGTTATCACAGCACTTTTTGGTTAATTTTCTTTTGTTCTCATTAATAATTAATTAATCGTATAGCAAGCTATTAAATAAGTTTAATTAGAATATCAGGTAAGGTGTGCACAAGTTTTATTATTATCAGTTGTATCGTTCATTTTGAAAGTGTCCAAAGTCTGCTTAGTTTCAATATATTATTTCTTCTCTTTCTCTTTCTCTTTCGCTTTCTCTCTCTCTCTCTCTCTCTCTAGCTCTCTCATAAATACATTTTCTCTTTATTTGCTCGATATTATTTGAAAACTTTCGCAATTTAATAAATATTAATAATAGTCAAAATAGACTTAGGTCACTTTCAAAAATAAAAAAAGATTTTTCAGAAAGCATTTTTAATATATAAATATATATAAAAAGAAAAAAAAAAATCAATGATTAAAAATTTTCGAAAAAATCTTAATATTATTTTCATAATGAAAAGTTATTAATAACGTGTATCGTGTTTGAGAAAAGTTTTTAGTGGTTTACCTTAATATTAAAAGATTTTTATTTTTTATTATTAATGTTTAATGTTATTTGATTATTTGTGATAGATTTGAAAGGCAAAGTGTACGCTAACATTCAGATCAGAAGGCATATTCTTTCAAGAGAATGACAATCAAGTGTTTGTCAAAGCGCTTGAGCACTTTTTTGCGTCATTTTCTCTTGATATTAAAAACCTATTTACGTCGAATCTTATGTCATTAAATATTTCTCTTTATAGTTATCTCAATTATCTCTCAGGTTATTGAGCACCACTTTCATAATCATAGAACAAGTAAGAACATTATAGTTGGGTAAGGTCGGCCATTGTATACCCTACATCATTTCGCCTGGTTTTAATAATAATACGCATTATTTTTCTGCAAAGGCATACTTATGATGAAAGTCCGACTATTGGCCCAAAACATCGCATGAAGTTGTCCAAATTTAGCCAACATTTCACTGTATTTCCTGGAATTTTCTCTCCCTATACCATTTTACTATTCTTAATAATTTCCATTGGGCTCTTAAAAATAGGCCTATGTAGTCCAAATTCGGAAAGGTAGATTTCAATGTTAATTTACTATTATGAACACAATTTTGCCATAAAATATAAAAAATTATATACTTTTCCCCTGTATGCAGATTAAGTTTTCGTTGGAACGGCTGTAAGACAGCCCGATGCACAAAGTTGCCCAGTTAAATAAAATTTTTTTGTAACAATTTAAAATGTCGTACTACTATTACCGAGCGATTTTCGTCGAGCAATGTTGGAAATTGCAATAAGGCTTTATTTGGGGAGTATTTGAAAAAGTGAACCTATCCGGATTATATTCAACAGTGTTCGTCCTTAGGCTAAATTCCGTTAGCATGTCAAATTTTATCAAAATGTCTCTAAAATTGCGATCTGTAAGTTGATCAGAAAAATACATGGATAAACGTCAGACAGATAGAGGGACAGACAAGCTTAGATCGAGTGAGAAAATTATCTTGAGCGAGTCTATCTTAACTCCTTCTGGATGTTACATATGTCCGCACAAATTTAATATGCCTTTGTACTGTAAGTGGTGTAAGGTAAATGCTGTTAATTGAACTTGTTCAGCTCTTAAGTTGAAATTTTTGAAAATTTCACTTTCGAACTCCTATCTTTTAACAACTATGCGCCACACTCTTTTCTATTCTGAGAATTTTTAATTATAGACTACTTGTAGTACCGCAGACCATTTCCATCTGATTTAATCCCTAAAGAAATTTATCCTTTTTACGAATGTGAAGGGCATGCCGGTTACGTAAGCATAAATCGTTTGCATTGCATCGAAATAAAAGCAACGAATGCGTGCCGATAACCTCGATTTTAAAAGTTAAAGCTTTTCGACTTTTATTTTCAATAAAAATATTTATTATATGGTTTAAGGAAGCAACCGCATTGTAACTGATCTTAAATAGTCTCTTCTCATTTTAATCGGATTTAATTCAAGACTAAAGTAACCCGAGCCAAAAATTTGATCTAAAACGAATAGAAAACTTGCAAAGCGAAATAGAGCTTCAAAGTTTTTAATATTTTTTACGCTTTCTATTCATTGCTTTCAAGCGATATTTTACTAATTCTACGATCGAGCGAGGATATGCACCGAACAAATGCTATTCGTCTGTTGGAATCTGATGGCAACGTGGACTTAACACTATTAAGTCATCGGAATTGCAGATGACAATCCGTCGCTATGACATATGAATCCACATTTTTCCTATGTGTGAATGCGCGCGGATGTAAATATGTTCATGTCATCCTAAGAGATCCTTGCCAGTCAAATATTTAAAATATGCTGGTTAAGAAAATTTTGAATCCTTTAATCCTAACGGTTAGCATTGTGATGAATGCATTGGACCCATGTATAATTCCGTAGCAAAAATTTAATAATTATTAGCGAAAATTAAGCTTACCTAGAATACCGACCGAGCTTTACTTAGAGAATTCTAATTCTAAAAAATAATATTGAGGTTATGTTCGATGTCTCATAAAGATTCGCGAACATTAATTAATGTCCAGATATGGATGGTTATTAGTCTTTTCTTACTACAAAAAAAAAAAACAAGTAAGAAAGTTATATTCGGCATAGACCGAATCTCGCATACCCACCACTATGCTTTTCGCATTCTTATCTCCAACTTTTTGTATTTGATACCCATATCGCTGGTATTACTAAAAAAGAAATTCATCCACCAGGTCGCGGTGTTTATCATATTCATTTTAGAATGAACCCATTTTTAGGCAGTTAATATATTTTCATTGGAGAAGTGTACGAAATAGTTTTAAACATTCCGTCGTGTTTGCCTTATTATAAACTCGTAACTTTGTATGAACGCGGCCGATTGGTTCCAGAGAGTAAAATGTCTCGTAAAGTAAACGTGGAAAATTTCAGTCTTCTAACTTTAATAATTTCCGAGTAACGAGCAAAAATTCAAAAATTTTTGGTAAAAAACACCGACTTGCGTTTAGTTTACGCTCCACAGCGAGCTTCTGCTCCAAACAATTTTTCACGTTTTCAATACCAGCTTGTTTCCACTACATTTAAAGCCGATATTTTCATTTTTGCGTCCAGGAGAGTGCCAACAATATACACCATACAGACGGACAGACATGCCTAAGTCAACCCAGAATTTGACGCTGATCAAGAATATATATTCTTGATAGGATCTCTGAAGCTTCCTTATGGGTGTTACATATATATGGAGTATGAATATGCGCCCATCTTACAGTGGTGGGTATAAGAAAACAAAGAGAAAAACGACATCTGGCTTGATTTTGCTACAGAATTACACGCAAAGTCGGAAATTTTCTATTACTTAATACTTTTCCTTCTACTTTATTATTTTTATTCTATTAAAATTATATTTTTTTAATTTTAATATTTAGTTATTATTGCTTTTTTTTTTTTTTTTTTTTCTTAAAAATATCAAGAAAAAAATTTTAATTGATTTTTTGTTAAGGCTTAATTTTCTTTTAGTTTTAGTTCCTCTTAATCTCTATTCCCATCACTTCTTAGGATAGAATATTTAACGCTTTTCAGAATATTGAAAATATAACCAACCGATGTGGATCTTCGTTCCATTTTGAAATCGAACATACCGAGCCTAATTAAGAGAAATTAAGAAATTTGGCCTAAACCGTATATCACATCTTTTTTGGGTTTTTTTTTTCGAAAGTACTTATCTCTTAATTTATGAATTTATTCATTTTAATAATTATGGTCCAATAGAATTCATTATTATTTATGTAAATATTTACGTATTTTGATATAATTAAGTAAATTTTTCATTACTACTCTAACGATCTAAAAGTTATTATAACATAGGAATTAATTAACGATATGATTGCGTCGTTTTTGAGTCTAAAATTTTTTTAAATTTATCTACTTTCTATCACTTACTAATTTATGTTCAATTTGATGGCATAAGATTTAAAAATTTTTTTCATATTATTGACTACTTAATTAAACAGTTTTCATATTCATATCACATGATTAACGCGATTTTAATTAAAGATATAATAAAATTTCGAATACAAAGTAAATTTCAAAAAATTTCAACTTAAAAATAAATGAAAAAGAAGAAGATGCAAATAGGGTTTTTTTTTTTTTTTTTTTTTTTTTTAGAAAACCCGAACGATTGCAGAAGCCTTTATTAAGATGACAGGAACTTCCATTTGACATTGGCATGGTTTCCCGTATACAAGTCCGTGGAGAAAGTTGATTGTACGTTGATTGTCCGTGAAACAGTTGAGGTTATGTATTATTATGCTCTTTGTAGCTAATAAATCGGCTTCAATTGAAAATTGGATTTTATCGCGAGTGAATGCTTAAAGCGAAATGCATCGCATCAGCATTAGCGTTTCGCGGGAAATGATTCAAAATTCTACCCAATTGATGAAAAAATTGAAGCCTGGCAAGGGAAGTTTTTAGTTAAAATTGCTTTCTATTTATGCAAATCTGTGGCGAATGTACTTGGAAATGGTTCAATCATCGCAAATTACTGTCTTAAGCGAACTTAAGTTTATGCAGCTTTCCCTTGTGGACGTTGAGAAATCTGGTAAAATACAAAGCCCGTGCAATAATCTTCACAAGATGTGGTCCAGTTTTGAAAATATCCTAATCATTCTGGCTGTCCATTCTGTCCCTGTGATGGTTCTACTAGGATATAGCCTAGCACAGAGCTCATTTCCAACGCGAATGCTAGCAAAAAATCAATGACTATCAATTTCTTGAATTGGCAATGATTGCTTCTTCTTCTTGGTCATGCCGGGGGTCAGCCTAGCTCAGAGTTAATTCCAAAACTTAATTAGCAACAAAAGTTCTAATTACAAATTTCAATTGAGTTGGCGATGATTTCTTCTTCTTCTTCTTTGTCTTGCTAGGAGACAGCCTAACTCAGAGCTCTTTCCCACAGCTAATGCTAGCAACAAAGTTAGTGACTATAAATTTCTTGAGTTCGCAATGATTTTTTCTTCTTTTTCTTCTTGGTTGTGCCAGGGGTCAGCCTAGCTGAGAGCTCATTTCCAAAGCTAATGCTAGCAAAAAAGTTACTGACTACAAATTTCTTCAATTGATGATGATTTATTTTTTCCTTTCCCTCATTAAAGCGTTTTTAAAAAAAAAAATCATAAGTAATGAGCAACAAATTGATGATTAACTAAAGTACAAAAAAAAAAAAATAAATAAAATTGAAAAAAAAAAAAAAAATAAAAAAAAAATGAAAAAAAAATTTTTTTTTTTTTTTGTTTTTTTTTTTTTCAAATTTTCAATTAATTAAAATGCCTGTATGGGTCGATAGAGTCCTGTATAACCACATAAGCGCGCCCTTAAGGCGGGTATTAAAAAGGCAGCTGCTGTTATATCCTTTAATAATTCAGAACATTCACAAACTAATAAATACATTTTATCACCCTTCGATGAAGTACTTTTGTGCAGTGCAATGCGTCGTAAACCGGCAGTACGTGGTAAATATCTATGCATATATATATATATATATATGTGCACATAAACACATAAACATCTATTAATTTATTGCAAAAATTAAATAAAAAGCAACCAACACATACCTGTATAACATTCTGGCTCCAGTCCAATATAACCAATTCTTTTCGAAACGTTCACCATCATCACCTTCGAAAACCTATCAAACAAACAAATAAGCGAAAACCAAAACAAAGAAAAGAAAACAAAATCAAAAAAAAAAAAAAGTGAATTGATAGCGTTTTTGTTTTTGTTTTCATTTTTATTTTTTTTTAATTTTTTTTTTATTTTTTTATTTTTTTTTTTTTTGCTTATCTACTCCTATGCACTTGCCTTAAACACCGAGATTATATAGCCGGTAGCTGGTGTTTGAGTTTTTTTAAAACCGCCAACATCACTGGGTCCCAATACTAATGGTGGTCTGCATATGGCCGCCACCTCGCTATACAAATCCAATGTATGAGCGGCAGTGTATCTAGGCAAAGCGAAAATAAACGGAAACGCAAACACGTCAAGTACGGGCAATCTCGCTCAACCAATGGGTAACAAACGGATTACGCGTTACAATTAGTTACAAAACATTTTTACAAACAAACTTTTAACACAACAAACACTACAGCTTTGTGTACTCAAAATGGCAATGAAATGAACAAAAAGTTCTAACCGGTGAGTTGAGTCTTTTGACCAATGCGTGGATTATTTATTAAGTTTTTTTCATTATTATTACATGAAATGGAAAGTTTAGGATCATTGGGCTAATATAACGAATTACAAATAAGTACTCGGATCTTTGTCCCCCCAGAATTACGATCCTAATAAAAAAAATAGAATGTACCCTGATATATGTATGCTTGTAATCACACTTAAGCTGAAACGGTTTCGAGATGGGCAATTGATCCCTCCTGACTATCACTGCACCTACATCCATAGAGAAAATCTAGCGGACGGTTGCTTAAGGCAGTTATTCAACATTTGCATAGTATTCGCTTAACCGCAAGCAAATCATCATCAATCACAGACGTCTTTGTATATCTGTGTCTCAGACACTTTGGTTACGCTTTTCTCAAAGAGTTATGCAAATAATTTCCAAACTGAACCACACATTCACATACCTGCCAAGTTTCAGTTTTCCATCTAAATTTTTATGATCGGGAATTTTTGTTCGGGTAACGGCGGTTATAGACTAACATGGCTGAAACGATTAAACGACTTGGACTATTGTGCTGCTAGTCAAGAATGAAAAATGTTACCCCAAGTAATACTTCTTGCCGTCTCTTGACGCTATTTAGGTTATGCTTAGAGAAGAACAACAATGCGTTTTTTAAAATCGTTCACGAAAAACTACTCCTTTATAGTTACATAGTAATAGTCGACGAACAAGAACTAGCAAGGAAGAGTCATCGAAGGCAATCAATGATAAGCGGCCTGTTGAAGAAAAAAAGGAAAAGCTAGCATGTCCCAGTGGTAGTGTTTCCAATATTTCCTTGCCAACTTTTGCTGTGTATGATCGTTTTATGGCATGGCTGCTTGTAATGACCAAGTATTCATTAGCATTAGTTGCTCTCCCTTTAGCTAATGCCATAAACTGGAACGAATATTCCGCACTTTATGGTCGATATTAATGATTCGACCTCACTAGGCACCACGATTTTTAACACTTGGGATTGTCGTAGGATATTCACTTTTCAACACACGTCAGAATTCAAATGCAGTTATCTTCCAAGTAAGCAGGGAATATAACGCATCTCGCAGATATTGTCTCACATTCGAGCATGAAGCCCAAGCTATACATACAGTCACTTATAGCGGTAAAACTATACATCTCTTAAACTATGATTGGAATTATAAATCTATCATATATCTATACTTCACGATGGGTTCTACAAAATTGTGAAATACACATTGGGTTGAGAAGCAGAAAATTCCATCCACTTATTGACATATATCTATAACCAATTACAGGATGAGAGAGAGAAAGAGAGAGAAAGAGAGGGAGAGGGAGAAGGAGAAGATGATGATGAAATTTCCTCAAATCGTTTTTTCGTTTTGCCCACTACTACTACTTATATATATATATATATGTGAATGCATTTATCTACTGCACTATATATATCTGAAAAAATTACAAGTTGTTTTGTATTGTGTAAACATTATCTATGAATGTGTTGCCATTACGTATGAGTGTTATCAATTGTTATGCCACATAAAATACTTGTACAGCTCAAGCTTTAAAATCAATTGATTTTTAATTAATTTTCACATATTTCTACTTTCTAATACATATACATCAATACATATATATATATATATACACATACATACACACATTCAATTATGTATTTACATACTTGTTTACCAACGTACTTTAAATTTTTTGGCTCAAATTTTGACAATGATGAGACACGTATACCCGAATAGAAGGAGGAAGGATCCGTTTGTGTCGTATTTATGGCATAATAAGCAATAAAAGGAAATTCCGCTATACAAGATATTAAATTATTTAAATTCTTAATCGGTTATTTTGCCCGGTTAGCATTTATATGTATGTACTTACAACTTTTCTCCATATTCGCTAATAGCATTCCACCCATAGCGGTATTGGCCTGCTGTACTTCTGATACTAATTCAGAAGCTACGGTTCGTTGCTTGAGTAAGGGATGAGCTAAAGGCGACTCTAAAACCGGATCTATTGGTTCTAATGGACTCATTAAATGCACTAAAATGCACATTTTCGGATCGGATACTTCTAAAACACTTAAAGGACTCGACGCTTTAGTACCGCTACTTCCATCCACCGGTGTAGGCGGTAGCTTAGATAATAATAATAATAATAATAATAATAATAATAATAAGAAGAAGAAGATAATGACTTGAGAATTTTTCCAAAGCTTTCTCATATGTAAGATGACTTACCGGTATGCCAGCTGGTAGAAAACGATCAACACTATGTACGGGTATTATGAAGCAATCACGATCTAATGCTGCCAGTGATATTGGCTCAGTTCTAGCCGCACTCGAACCGGGAACAACTGCTCCACCAAAGTTAGCTAAAAATATGAATTTTTTCTTACTGAAATTTTCGAACAAAACACAAAAAAATGTAAATAATTAAAAAAAAAAACCAAAAAACTTTTTTGGTTTCATTGTTGTGTTAATATAAGTTTTAAAACAACTAAATCAAAAAGAACATAACATATTTTTGTATAAAAAAAAAAAGCTTTCATCTACTTTTTTTTCCGGCTCCTTTCTTGTATAGTGGAAGAAGTTTTCTTTTGATTGTTTTTTATTATTATGTTATTAATATAAGAATAAGAATAAGGAGTAAGCATAAGATAGTACGAGAAATATAAACAGAGAAACAGAGAGAAAGAGAGAAAGAAAGAAAGAAAGAAAGAGAGAAAGAGAGAGAGAGAGAAATACAATTTTTTTTTACATATGACAAGAATAACCAAACGAACTTTCCATTTGAACGAAACTCTTATTAAAAAACGCATTTTAGTTATTAACAACAACAACAAGAAAACAAGAGCAAAATAGCGGCAGCCCACTACTACTGTGCGGAAAAGCCCTTAAATGGATGGCATTATGGTTATTAGTGTGTGTGAATGAAAGGGAAGATCATAGGAGGAGAGCAGCATGAATGCAACTATGTATGTGATTTTAAACAGTTATTTTTATCAAATACTTGCTTTTTAGAGTAGAGAGAGAGAGAGAGAGAGAGAGAGTCTAATGGGAAATTGCGGCGGATTGTGGTGTGGTTTGTAGCAGCGAGAAGGGAGAACACAATTAATATCAAACGACAACATACAACAGAGCTTTGTTTTTCAATTTTTCTTTTCTTTGTTTTTTTTTTTTTTCTTAATTGTTATTAATATTTGTTTCTCATCTGTTCCAATTCAGTTTTTTTTCTCTCATTTTTTTTTTTATTTTCGAATCTTTTTTTTTTTTTTTTGCCTTTTTCATAATTTCTGTGATTATAATAAAAATTGACATTTTAATTATTATTATTAATATTTCTCTCTTTTTAGCTATATAACGATCTCATGATAATGGGTTAAAGATATATAGAAAATGAAGGAAAAAAAAAAAAAAGAAGAAATCAACAGAAAATTCTCTCAAACCTTGCCAGGCGATGGCCGCATTCAACCCTGTAATAGGATAACCATAGGTTGCCGGTGAGACGTTCTCATCGATAGTCTCTAGCAATGGATTAAATTCATTTTGTACTCTAATGTTGTTGTTGTTATTGTTGCCGTTGTAATTGTAGTTGTTCCATCTTAAAAGCGACACGGACGGCTTGCGATCGACTAGAGGCTGCGGTGCATCCAGTTCATGCGTTATGGGTAGTGTAGTGAAGCCACTGCACCTTTCTGCAATGGGTTTTTGGTTTCTTTTCTTTGCTTCTTTATTCATTCATAGGTTTATGCATTATGTATATGATGTTAGATTCTGTAGGTGCATGTGCATGTCTGTCATGTATGTAAATGTGTAAATATGCAAAAGTATTTAGTATTTATGAAGTACGTTACATATCATGATGGTGTGTATGGTAATGAGATATAATCCAATTAACGTGAAGATAGGAAAACGAGGACTTGTTTAAATAATAGATAAAAATTTGCCGCAAAACATGTTACAATTACTTTACGAAATAACTTATCGGCTCGAACCGTATTAAATAAAAAAAAAAAAAATAATAAAAAAAAAAAAACGCATAACAAGCAATTCGTCACATGAAGTTATGTGACACAGTAGTTATTGAATCTTAAACAATTAAGTGTTAATACAATCCCCCTAAAGGCATCATCAAAATGCTAAATATTCTCGATGAACAATTTTATGGATACCATTTTTTTTCCATTCAACAACAAAGTTTGTATTTGTTTTGCCAAAACGTATGCAAGAGAGGCCTCAAGGATTCTTTAGAATATACATATTACATATATATACTTGTGTACGTGGATATATTTTCACTATGTGTAGTAATGAACCGAAAACCTTTGAGAGCAAAGCAAGGCAGACAGACGTGCTTGTCTAAGTCGTTGAGTAAGAATATATCATGTATATATACATATATCATGCATATATACATATATCATGATATCATGTATATATATATATATCTCAAACAAGATATCATATATAACTTTATATCATCATATATGATATCATATATCATCATATCCTATATAACACATCATATCATAGAACAGAGAGAAGTACATGTCTAATTTGTTGATCAAGGACATGTCGTGTATATAAATATTATAATTTCATATATACATATGTATATCATATATAACATATCATATATATCATGTGATCAACTACTTGGACATGTACGCTTGCCAGCCTTGGTCTGCTCGTTCGTTACTACGTATAGTGAAAAAATATCCTCGTACATTCTGAGCCAATATGGAGAACGCTGGTCATAATAACCCAACATCCTACAGGATAGAAGTTTGGTTTTAAACTTTTTTTTTGAGATAAAAGTGAACTTTTTTTTTTAAGTGAAGTGAAAAAATAGCTTTTTCGGAAGTTTCATAGTGACAATGATTTATATTGAAATCTTGTGAAGATCAAAAGACAGGAAATGATAGTGAGAGATAGTGGGTGCGCGTCTAATCGACAAGTGCTATGTAAATATTCTCCACTTCATAGAGATTTGAATCCGCGGATAAGGTCACGACGCTTATCCCTTCGGCTAACCGGCGTCGTTCCGCTTTCAGCTTACTTTTCAGGCAGAGAGAAACTGCACACATTACTCAACAGCGCCACTTTTAAAATAGGAGCAATCATATAGAAGTCGAAATTATTGATTCGAAGGGTATCGTCTTTTTTTTGTTGGAAGTTGCTTGATATGACCTTGCGTCTGGCAAATACCGGCAAGTCGATGTACCCGCTTGGACTTCGAATCCCTTCTCTACGTCACTCAAATCTACGGTAGGGGCAAGTGGAGAATAATAGTAAAATAGATCCCGCTGTAAGGGGAATGACTGTAATGCCGAATTCCAGACGCTGCCGAGCATTGGGACTAGGAGAGGAAATAAGCCCTATGTTAAAGATCTGGAGATATGATGAACACTTTGCGAGCGTAATAGGCCGCCAAACTGCTTGCACCAACCCAGTGTAGCCACAAAAAATGCTGGATTCCATTTATTTTGCCGACTCTCCCTGGGTAGGCAGCGACGAATATTAGTAATTCTAAGCAGCGTGAATTGTTCGGTCATTGCGAACGGAAAGATCATCCATCTAACATCTATTAAAGATGCGAGCTCATACAACATGTTAGCATAATTTGTTGTGTTGCTTGACGTTGTCGCTGTGAGCGTTACTCCGTTGATGAACATTAATTATCGAAGCGAAGACATTTAAATTTAAACCCATTTTTTACAACTTTTTACTATAATAAAAGTGTCATGGCTATCAGCGAGCAAATTGCATGTTCATGATAATTAATTGGCCCTTTTAAAGCACCTCGTGCATTTTAGTACGATACGAACCGATACGTTCTTGGCTAATCGCGCGCCATAAAGCAACAGAGAAACTATTGTCTAATAATGCTGATTATAAGAGCAAGTGTACAGTGTATTAAATAGTATGGTGCGATTCACAGAAGACATATAACAACAAAATTCTGGCAGATGATTTTCTACTACTACTATTTTACACACACTTACAAACAATTTAAAGCAATTTATTTAACTTGAATTGAAAGCATTCTAAACAAGCTGCATATGTGTTAGTAAATTTATAAAATATTAGTTTTAAAAGCTTTCTTTCTCTAAGAAAAAAATTTGTGTAAATGTTGAGCCGTTTTTTTTTTTTTTTTTTTTTTTTTTTTTTGTCTAAGCAAAAGAAAACCAAAAAAAAAAATTATAGAATTTCTACTTTACTACGTGGATGGTTACACTACATTGGTATATATATATAAGCCGTCACCATTATCTGCAACATCTATAACGGCAATAGAGGGAGAAACTACACTCTGCCACTACACAAGTTTACAATAACAACAAAAAGAGTTCAGTAAAGAAAAAACTTACGTGGAGCCATTCTGTGAAGCATTTCTCTATAATAACAAACGTTGATTATGATTATGTTTAGTTTTAGTTTTGGTTTTAGTTTAGTTTTAGTTTAGTTTGCCTTTTTTTTAAGAAGAAATTTTGAAGATATACTGCTTATGGGTTATACGCAATTGTTATTGCCATACAATCATACACAGTAATTAAAGAAGGGGACAAGTTAGCAACACACCACACACTTTTACACATCAAATAATTATTAGTAGTTTTTTAATTTAATTTTTATTATTAATTTTTTTTTTTTGAAAATTATTCCAAAATTAATTTGTTTTTTTTTTTTTTTTTTTTTTTTTTTTTTTCAAGAAAAAAATTAGTTTAGAAAATTGATGTTTTGTGATTTCGTAGTGTGCATGGAAAAGTGAATGTATGTCTGTATATATGGGTGGAAGAAAGAGAGGGGGAAACGATTTTAAGGGGGATTAGTGAGCGCCTACCTTCGCCCACATCATAACCGGGACGACTGGGTGCAAAAAACAGATGAGTCCTATAATGTATTTCGTCGCCTTGTCCGCCACCAGAGCCGCCCATTTCACGTGAACGTTTCGTACGATTTGCTTTCGATTGCAATTTACCGCCGCCAACTGCTGCCTTACCGCTGCCGCCTTCACGGAAATTCTTACGAAACATTAAATTCATGATGAAATACTCGTTAGATATATAGATATATATATATATATATATATATATATATATATATATGTGTGTGTAAGAGGAACTCAATTGATTTTCTTGGATGTCTTATGTTAAATGTTTTCCAATTGTTGTTTAAGGCAATTTTTTTTTCTTGTTGGTCGTTAACAACAGTTTTTTGGTTTTTTTTCCTTTTTTTTTTTTATTTTTGCTTGTTTTGGTATAAATCAATTTAAATATGTTTTTTTTTTGTGGATTTTTCTTCTTTTTTTTTTTGCTTTTGCTTTTGATTTTGATTTTGTTATTCTCGAGTTGTGTGTGTGTACCTGTTACTGGAAATTATTTTGCATAATATATATATTTAAACCTGTACTTGGCTATAGAGAAAAGACTACACATATTTTAAATATTTCCTAAACAAGAACAATTCGTAAATTGCTGCACTTACTGGTGGTTACCGGTTAAAGGAAATTGCAAATATCCGTTTGGCATGACTTTTATGTCAGCAACAAATGAAAACCAAAACCAAAGACGAAACAAAACAATGAACAAGAAAACTATTTCGCTAAAACAAACCAATCTAAAGGCATATTGCAAGTGCGGCCAACTGCTTGCTCTATAAGCAAACTTTAAACGTCAAAGTTTAACTTTTAACTAATGGTATCAATACCATCGCATTGTTTTCGAAACGCAACAGGAACTGATCGCTTACAAATGAATAAAACAATGGCAAGAGTGATTTAAGCGAATCTCTTGAGGCAAAAGAAAAAAAAAAACATTCCGCGAGAGAGGACGTGATTAGCGAAGAAGGAGGAAAATCATATTTCCTTAAGACGATTAAACGAAGAGTTCTTGAAAGGAGATGTCGTTAAATTCGCAAAAGTTTTCCATAGCAAGCGCATAAACCTATAGCAACAGTTGATGGGCATATAAAGGATTCTACTGATAATCACTTCAGACTTCAGACAAATAAATAAAAGGCTTAGTAACATGAATGTTACGTTCAGTCGAAAGTATTTATCATAAAATAAATATATTTTGATACATAACTCTTCAAAGCAAGCAGCACATGCTGACCTAACGCCGAATACTGCTTTGATCGTAGTTATGGTGAATGTTCAATCACTCGAGACACAACGTTTATCGATTGCTGACACATCCACTAGACGGCGGCGACAAACTCCCTATTTCTTCCTTTCACTTCTTTCTGACGTTAACCGCGTTACGTGAATAAGGGACGTCCCTTGAGTGATACGACTAATACGACACAATACTATTGACAGTGCAAATTAGTTCGGTCTGGTTTCGTAAGAGAGATCGCACTTAGCACTGTAAAGAATAGAATAAGGCCATGAGTTCTTTGAAGGTGTGCGTAACGGTAAAAATTATCACGCTAAAGCGTACACAAAGAGAAGAAATTTGCGGAAAACTTTACCTTTTCCGATCACATCAAAGGTTAGCACGTCTTCCTTTTTTAAAAATGGTGAACAGTGGAACAGCGCTACAATGTCCGAAGTCTAAATAACTATGATAGTGTGCATGCGAACCAATCGCATTGACGATGGCATTGATATGGCGGAATATTCTTGGTGGCCCCATTTGCGAGGATCAGCTGGACGTGCTGTTTTAACGTTTGTTCGAACCAAATGCAACCG